GTATATTCTTTACGAATTAGACATAAGATATTTTACTGTAGAAATGATTCAAAACAGAAACCCTTGCTCTCTCGACGGAGGCAAGAATTTGCCAACCATATCCATTGAATAGGAGTCAAATCCTCACAAAATAGGCCCACCTTCTGAGTGGATGCTTGCAGACTTAAGTTTAAACCTGACCATTGCTCACCCATAGACACAAATATAAAAACCGAACAATGCTTATATATAGACCAGTAGTTCCCAACCGATTTTGGACCATTACCGACTTTGGTATTTCTAAAATTCTGGTACATCTCTGTAATATTTAATTCTTACATATTCAACATTTTACTGCAATTCGCATGAAGGAAGCTTAAAAGGCCATTAACTTGGTCTCTAAATAAACCTCCAAAGAACATGGCTTCCATGAAAGAGAAAGCTTAAAAAAAACAACAACAAAAAGACAGTTAAATATATATAAAGTTTCAAAACGTATAATAGAGAACTGAAAGGTAGAAATATAAAATATTTGAATGAAAGCTTATTCTGTAATATACTTTGATCATTTTAATCATGAAATAATAATGCCAAATGAAATTTGAGCTAATTACAAAACAATTCACTGTTAATAACTCATTCTTGACCCCCCCCTTATTCTTTTGGTATAATAAGCCAAAGGGTGCATATCCGACACATGCCCCACCAAAATATTACCATGCCCTACCGGTGAAAATCATTGGTCTAAACTATAGCCGCTTAGTGCACTTTATACTCTTTTTTAATATTAGTATCAATAACTTTGTTTTTCTTAAGTCGGGTGTATGTGATGGCTCCAGTCTCCCAACTGATAATAATGACTGACATGGAGTCATTCAACTGTCATGAAGTATCCATATTTCTAAAAATGAAATAATTTAGAGCTATAAATGTGCAAACCATTGAGTTGCAGTAAAATTGAGGGCTGTGCAATGCGCACAAGAAATCTCTGCGAATCTGTGACACTGAATGGTTCTATTAGAACAACGAAAACACACACACACACACACACACACACACACACACACACATATATATATATATATATATATATATATATATATATATATATATAAAAAGCATATTCATAACAAAAAAAACTGGGGTAGCAAAATATATATTACATTAAATTGTTAATACTGATATGTAACAACGATTTTAAACAACTAAACAGGTTCATCGATTCTCTCTCGTCAAAAAATAGAACATTAAAGGCTAATTACCATAAAGCCTATCAACCAGCCCAGTTTAGAGAGAGATGGTTGGTAGGACTTAATATATATTGCTTCCAAAACCTTAAAGTGATAATCGGTATTAGCCTTACTTGGAAAACATGTCCGGACTATAAGACACTGCTGGTTTTTAATCAAATGTTTTGTTTTCACTGAACCTGATACATGAATGCACTTATGTAAATTGTCCACATTTCCCTTGCGAATATCGGACGGAATATGTTGATCGATTGGCGCCTCCATCTCTTGCACCGTTCTGTCTATATAATCAGCAACGCACTGACATCTGAGTTTGTAAATTACAGAAATAATATGATGGGTAGGTAGGACAATATTCCGGATCGATCTCAACATGGGTCCAGTACCAAAATCTATACTTGAATTGTCGTGAAAATGACAACTTCTTACGTCAACTGAAACTTGCTTGGTAAATATCTCATTCGCCTTACCGATTTATATTCTAAGCCATTTACAATGTGTGGCTGTATGATTAATAGTATCCCCGACTAACATCTGAAAATAGAATAAATATGCATCTTATTACATGGAAAAGGGTGGGGTGTATATACTGTCATGTTTCAGTCTCGGCTAGCCTAATTTATACTCCGGGTTATGTAACAGCGAAATCCATAATAATCCCGGCTATACACTGGTTTGTTACTCTAGAATTTCAACTCGGCGCGCCGATTCCCTTTTAGGCGCTGATATCCGTTACAGCAACCGCACATGGTCTCTTCTTCATATGTGAAGAGAATGTCTAACATTCCCTGTCGTAGAAGTGATTATATATTGCATATCGGGTCAGCACTCTTTTTCTTGGATTCTAACGAGCATTTCATATACAGGGTGTTTCAAAAAATTTGATATCCTTTGAGATGTAAATATCACAGAAAGTACATGATTAAGGCAAATGAAATTAAAAAGTATTAATGTTGAAGATCATAAGATTTATTCTTCCAAATCTGAATGAGAAATTCAAAAGCGTGTGGATTATGTGAACGATTTCACAAATGTTCAATATGCGAACCGCCTGAGACACGGCATTTTTATACCTGGAAAGAAAAAGATTAAATATTAAAGAACATAAAAATACAAATAAGAAAAACACAAAAACATAAAGACATAAAAACATAAAACAAACATTAAACATAAAGATGCTATTAAAATTTGAAGTCATTTGAAGGAGATCTAACAAAGTTATTAGATTGCGAAATGATATCAAATTTTTTGAAACACCCTGTATATTCATATTTTGCTTATTTTCTGTTAGGCATCTTTAGAACTTCGTATATCTGCGTCGCATTTTCTGTTTTCTTCTACACAAAACCAGAAAGCTACATATCTGTACTTGCTTGAGTTTCACAGCCCCAATATGTAACTCACACCTTCGGTTGCCTTTTTTGCTGTCAACCACGTATTCTGTCATCTTAGAGTTATTATTTATTAACTGTACTTATAAATTAAACTAATTGCTGTCTTGAAAATATGGTAATGTTTTAGTAAAGCCTCTCATCAGAATTCAATCGCCTGTAGCAAAACATTCTCAGTTAATTCATTTATAATTTATAATTTTTTAATTTTTGTGATGTTAGATACCTTCGTCGTTGTCACTTTTGTGATTTCAACGCATGCTCGTTATCACGTTCGTAATTCTCGTTTTAGTTGAGACTTTGGAATCGAAGATACTAGTAGTAACTTTAACGAACAGTATTCGCACTAGTAATACTTGTTTGAATAGTAACTACCGAATAGTAATCAGAAGAATGATCAGTATAGAGAAATAGTATAAAGAATCGCGATCGCTTAGACGCCACGCTAATTCCCATATATACCTTTCCTTTACGATCACGTGGTCTACTTATTAAAAATGGAATCATCTGTTTTTGCTTACTGGTATTCAAACTACAGTGTCGGCAACGGCACTTTATCCCTGTATAACAATAATCTAAGCCATTTGCAATGCGTGGCTGTAAAAATGTTTGCAATGTAATTATTGAAACTAGTACAACACCGAAATTCGAACGCCCATTAGAAAGATGCCTTACAAATGCTAAGCAAAGTATTAAGAAACTGGAAATTTTTATTATTAAAAAAAGAAAAAGAAAAGAAAACTAAGAAAACTAAAATAAAAACGAGTGCTGAACTATTATGGAATTTTAACCATCCTATATGACAGTAAATGCTAGACAATTTTCTTAATGATAAAAAGAAGACTAGAGGCAACGGAAATTATGTTCTACTGATGGATACTGAGAATTCCATGGACGGAGCGCGTAAGCAAGGAAGAATTCTTAAGGAAAATGAAAGCAAAAAGAACAATTATACTCAGAATAATAAAGACAGTTGAAATTTTTTAGACACATAAGGAGGAAGCTGGGTCTCACCCTCACAGGACAAAGCAAAGATAAAAGGGTAGAAGGGAAGACGGCGAACAATCTACTCCGATGGACGAAATAAAGGGTTCGGTGATTGGAATTTCGAACCGAACCCTTTATTTCGTCCATCGGAGTAGAATGTTTTTGTTCCACGTGCCATGCCTCTTCCGGGTGTCTCAGTTATTTCCCTATAAACCAACCTTCCAAGTTTTGGTTAACCACTGCTGTGGCCTGGTATTGAACACAAAACTCTTTGGGTTTAGTCACTGGATCTAACCAACGTCTTTACCCACTGGGCAATCTACCCCCGTGGACGAAATAAAGGGTTCGGTTCGAAATTCCAATCATCTGAAGAAGGCCGGAGCGTAAAATGGCTGAAACGTAATGTAAATAATGCAAGTAATAACTCATCTCAGAGATATAGACGGATAGAAAGCTAATTTCTGTTATTTTCTGTATTTTTCTGATTGGATTTTATGTACGCGTTATCACTGACCAACGGGTTTACGGTCATATCAAGTTGAAACGCCGGTTTCCGTACGATCAACGAAGTTAAGCAACGTCGAGCATGGTCAGTACCGCTTGGGAATATCAAGTGCTGTAAGCTTGGATATACGGATGATGCAATTCTCGGAATTGTTAATCAGAGAACCGAGCTGCAATTCCAGCGAGGTTAACTTACTCGCAAATATAATTGTAAAGACTATATATTCACCTCTTCTCGCCCAAGGAAAGGCATAATTAGTAAGACTTGTAGCACTAAATAGTATTAACTCCAAAATTATTTCAAAATAATTTGGGCTTTAAATAACATGCAAAAGATTTAAAAGACGTAGAAAACAAATCAATCGCTGAATGATCTCATTGTCAAGGGATATATATATATATATATATATATATATATATATATAGATAGATAGATAGATAGATAGATAGATAGATAGATATCAAGGAATAAATATACATAAATGAGAGCCATTCAAAGATAGATAGATAGATAGATAGATAGATTGATTGATGAGATAGATAGCTATATATATATATATATATATATATATATATATATATATATATGAATGAATGAAAAAGAAGAGGCAGAACGTGGTTGTAACCATTCAAAGAAAAACAGATAGATAAATGAGAACGTGTTTTCAAACATATATATATATTTATATATGTGTGTGTGTGTGTGTATATGTGTGTGTGTGTTGTTTGTGTGTGTGTAGAGATATGAGATATCAAAGGAATGAATATTCAAAGATAGATTTTGAATGAGAACATTCAAACATAGATATATATATATATGTGTAAATGTGTGCTATTCAAATATATATATATATATATATATATATATATATATATGGTAGATAGATACATGTGAATGAATGAATGAAGATAGGATATAGATATATATATCCATTCAATGATAGATAAATAGATAGATAGATAGATAGATAGATGAATGAAGAGATAGATATATAGATCCAAAAATGATAGATAGATAGATAGATAGATAGATATATAGATAGATAGATAGATAGATAGATAGATAGATAGATAGATAGGAAGGAACGCGAAAAACAGAGAGATAGCTGAGAGCTATTCACAGATAGAGAGAGAAAGAGACAGACAGACAGACAGACAGACAGACACAGATAGATATGAATGAACGAAGATATATAGATAGATAGATGACTGGCATTTAAAGAAAGATAGAAATATATAAAGGAACGAAGATAGATAGATAAGAGCCATTCCAATATAGATAGATAGATAGATATGAAGGAGCGAGAATAGATAGATATGAAACAATGACGATATATAGATCGATGAATAGATACATAGATAGATATGAAGGAATAAATATAGATAAATAAATAGATGAGAACCATTCAAGGACAGATAGATCCGCAAATAGATAGATAGATAGATAGATAGATAGATAGATAGATAGATATCGTTCGACCTACTGACCTTCTACTAATGGCTTGCATATTATTGAGAACTTTCTGTATAGCAAATCGATTTAAATAAACTTTATACGACACGAACTGTTTTATTGCATTTATGCAAGGACTGGCCCATTAACGTCTGCAGCTAGCATTTCAAAAGAACATTCTCAAAGAAAATAGCATAAGTGGCAAGAAAATCGTTTAAATATACATTTGTATTACAGATTTCTGAATAAATACAAGCATAGGGCGGCCATAAATCCTCGAACCAGTCTTAATGGAAATATTTATTAAAACTTGGGTGAAATTATATATCATAAATTTCTACACTTAACACAGCTTCTGTCATAGTTGATTCGGTTTTCAAAGCATCGTTGTATATTCATTGCATAATTGGTGTTTCTCCAAATACCTGTAATTCGGAGCCTTAATTCATGTCGATAGAACCATTTTTGATGCGCAAGAAGTTTTTATATGGTTGTTAGCAAAAGGGGTATCCCAACATGCAAATTACAGTTTGGAGATAACCGAAGTCAAATAGATTTAAAAAACTGTGACACTGATATCCGAAGGTGCTTTGGGATATCGAAAGATGCCTTCTAAAAGCTGAGCAAAGTATTAAGAAATCTGAAAATATCGTTGCAAACAAAGAAACGAGTACTGAACTGTTATGCAGTATCAGTCCTCATCTATGGCAGTGAATGCTGGATAATCTCCTTACTGATATCAGAAGGTGCATTGGGATATCGAAAAAAGCCTTCTTAATCTGTAGCCATAGATTATACCTTTATTACCACTCAGATTAAGACGAAAAATTTAACCTATTTCTAACAACAATACATGAAATTTTAGGGATATTTTCTCTTTTTTTTCTATGAAAAATTTTGTTAGTTTCTAAACTTGAAGCATGATAACATTTAGATTTTAAAATCAGCTGTTTCTCATATATGTAAGATAAACAAAAGTCTACGTTCTTCACCCTCCCCGGAAAGAAAAACAAAATTTTATAATAAGAGAAAAACTACAACATACAGGACAAATTATGACGAAAATCGAATCAAATATAAGCCCCTTCCATCAACATGTTATCGATGTGGAGGACTACATTGGAACAAGGATTGCTGCTTTATATATAAAAACTGTCTTGAATGTGGAAAAAAGGGCCACAAGGCATCCCAATGTAGAAATAGAAAAGATACTAATAGAATAAGAGCTACAAGGATGAATAACGATGATAACACCAACGTAAGGAAATATGTGGAACTGAAATTTTAAATAAAAAGATTAAATTGCAACTGGATTCGGGTTCCGACTTCACGATAATCAACTTACAGATATGGAGAAAACTCAACAGACCTACCATGTTACACACAAAAAAAAATTATCAAGTCGGTTACAGGCAAACGAATAAAATTTGAGGAAGAAATAATCGTGAATGTTAAATTTCACGGCAAAACAAAAAAACTTAAAAATATACGCCATGAAAGATACTGAAAATCTAGTAGTTATCGACTGGATGCAAAAGTTCAACGTTTGGGACCTACCTATCAACTCTTTTTGCAAAAAGTTAGAGGTTGAACCATCAGATACTATAAAATTGAAGGAAACATTATATAATCAATTTCCTGAGGTATTTTCAAGCGGGTTGGGACGATGCAACAAATTTAAGGCCAAAATAGAATTAAAAGAAAACGTCCAATCAATTTTCAAAAAGAAGCGAAATGTATCGTTCACTAATATAGAAAAAATAGACAAAGAATTGGAGAGACTTGAACAAACTGGGATTCTATCAAAAATAGTTTAGCGAGTGAGCAGCGCCGGTGGTTTATGTAAAAAAGAAGTCAGGAAAATCCGTGTATACGCAGATTTTTCGACGGGACTCAACAAGGCGATAAAAGACCACCATTACCCACTACCGAGCCCAGAGGAGATATTTACAAAGCTCAACGGCGGTAAGATATTTTCAAAAATAGACCTTAGTGAGGCTTATCTACAAATCCCAATACAAAAAGAGAGTACGAAAATCATTTGCATTAATACGCACAAAGGGTTGTACAAATTCAACAGACTACCATTCTGAGTAAAAGTTGCACCAGCAATTTTTCAACAAACGATGGACACAATGCTTACGGGCCAGAATTTCGCGACCGCTTATCTGGATGATATTCTAATTAAGAGCAACAATGTTGAAGAGCACACATCACACATAAAGGAAGTTTTCAGAAGACTTCAGGATTTCGGTTTCAAAGTAAAAGGAGAAAAGTGTGATCTTTTCCTAAATGAAATTAAATATTTAGGTCAGATAATAAATGAAAATGGCAGGAAACCGGACCCAGAGAGGGCATCGGCAATTAAAAATATGCCTGAACCAAAAAATGTTGCAGAATTACAAAGTTTCCTGGGCCTAGCTAACTACTATGGCGAATTTATTGATAATATACATAAACTGAGGGCCCCACTAAATTAGTTAATAAAAAATGAGCATAATTGGAATTGGACAGAGGATTGTAAAAAAGCATTTAAGGAAATAATACAAAAATTAACTTCGGAGTTAGCATCCCGAACTCGAAATCATTATTGCAAATGACGCGAGCTCACATGGGGAAGGTGCGTGTATTTTACACAAGATGCGGAACGGTACCAACAAACCCATTGCACACGCATCTAGATCATTATTACCGGCGGAGAGAAACTATTCACAGATCGAAAAGGAGGCATTGAGCATAATTTTGCAGTAACTCGTTTTCACAGATATATTTATGGGAGAGAGTTCACGCTCTAAACGTATCACAAACCACTTCTTACGATTTTCGGTTCAAAAAAAGGTCTACCAGTCTATACAGCGAACAGACTTTTAAGATGGGGAACTGTGTTACTAAACTACAATTTTAAACTGGAGTTCTTACCATCAAAGAAAATAGGACACGCTGATGGACTATCGCGATTAATACCTGCGAAAGGCGAACCGTTAGAAGATTCGGTAATTGCGGCATTAAAAGCGGAAGATGAAATCAGTAAGGTACAATGCAGTACAATAAAGGAACTACCTGTAACGCTGCTAGAGATAAGACGAGAACCAGAAAGAGACTAGTTTATTCAGGATACTAAGAAAAAATAGAAGAGAAAGTGAGGAATTTAGCAGACAGTTTCTCAATCTGTGACAACATATCGTATAACGAGAGTAGTAATACCGAAGTCACTCCGAAGAAGGATCTTGAAAGATTTCCACTTAGGACATCCCAGAAAAAACCGGATGAAATCACTTATGAGAAGTTTTGTCTACTGGCCGAACATGGACGATGATATTACGCAAATGGTGGAAAGTTGCAAAGGTTGTGCTGCTGCGGCGAAGGCACCACCCTCTATACAACGGCCATGGACTAAAGTCGACAGACCGTGGTCCAGAATTCACGTGGATTACGCAGGACCCATTGAAGGTTACTATTATTTAATAACAGTAGATAGTTTCAGTAAATGGCCAGAGGTTGCCAGATTTAAACACCCGACGACTGAAAACACCATAATTTTTTACACGAACTATTCGCGAGATTTGGCGTCGCGGATTGTTTGGTAAGCGATAACGGCACACAGTTTACCTCCAGTGACTTCAAAGAATTTTGTGAGACATAACAAGTAAAATATATCAAGATAGCTCCGTACCACCCGAGGTCGAACGGACAAGGAGAAAGATTCGTTGACACACTTAAAAAGAGCGTTAAAAAAGCCGAGGATGTACCGACAATAAAAGCGATACAACAGTTCCTCCAAGTTAACAGAATAACACCTAACGTGAAAACACCATCGGGTCTTTCACCAGCGGAATTGATGTTTGTTCGGAGAATAAGGTCTGTTTGACAAATTATTGCCAAACAAGAACAAAAACCAGTATACACCGATTGTGCCAAAGAGATCATTCAAACCTGGAGAACGGGTTTATTTTAGAATGTTTAGAAACAATCTGGCTTACTGGGAGCCTGGCACAGTAATCAATAGATTAGGAAATCTAATGTACACAATAAAAGGCGAGAAGTTTTCACATAGAAGACATATCGACCAATTACAAAAAAGACGGGTTCAGGAGCCAACCTCGTCAACCGCAGAAAACGACGTTTCTATGGATACAATCTTCGAAACGTTTGAGATCCAAAGATCGCAGGAAGACACAGGAATGAGAATGTCAAACAGGAAGAGAAAATTTGTCGAACCCCTTATTATCAACCATAAGAGACAAATATACTAACTCCCCACAAAAAGGAATCTAAGGAGGTGGGTGTTATGGGGTCCACCTCTTTTTCATACAAGTGGACTCTACCAGTGTGTACTTGGACTGCTGCCGTTAAATACCCAGAGTCAGTCAGAGTAGAGAGATTGAGATGGAGATAGAGTAATAGTGTGAGGTAAACGCTTGTAGAAGTCACAGTTACGAACAAGTAGACTCTAAGGAAGTCCTACTTCGAGACTGAATTTACTAGACTATATATATATATATATATATATATATATATATATATTATACTATTGCTACTAACCGTATTACCAATTGTGTTATTATGTAAATACATTTATTTTTATATTTCATTCCTGCGTTTGTCATTCATTTGAGACCGGATTTCATCTCGGAATCCACAACAATATATATATATATATATATATATATATATATATATATATATATATATATCCAGATATGATGAGAACGAATACAGTACAATTCCAACGTTCTTAACATTTAATTTAAAAGAGGGATCAATACAAAGTAGAGCAATATTCTTTATTTTAGGATATTACATCGAAAAACATGTCAAAATCGCCACACAATTGAAGTCGTATATATATATATATATATATATATATATATATATATATATAAATATGAAATATGGCCTAAGCATTATTTACATAAGAAACCTAAATAAACGAAATACCACTGTCTTAGCAAAATAAATAAAATGCCCATAAATAAAAATAGCTTACAAATCTAGAGCTGGATCAAAAACAGACTAAGTCTGTTATAGATGAAAAAACAAAACAAAACAAAACCAAGGAAAAAGGCAACATGATCACGACGCACATCCGTGTAGACAGGCGCACGCGATCGGGGGTGGACAAGCGCACACACAAACACAGATAATATAGAAGGAAATTTACACCA